CTGATCGGGACAACGATACGGAAGAAAAATGTTGATACCACTCCAACTATCCAAACCACGACTCCAATGCGGCAGGCCAAATTAGCACTTGAAATTTGCTGAGATTTAGGTAATCGAGTGCTTAGCACATAAGGGCTCGGCGCTAGTGCGTAATGTGGATAGGGGGTGGGCCGCAGCGAGAGCGCACTGATGATGATACCAAATGTCCAGAACCCTCAGAATTAATTCAAAGCTACTACAGAAAAAAAGAAGAAAAATAATTTTTATGAGATCATTTTGTGACTTGGTCTTACCCTGCTAGTCGCTTATCAGCTTATCTTTGCGTGCCCACATATGAATCAGCCGCTTCCATATAAGTGCTCTCACCAAGACCGAAACAACCTTTTTTGGCTGTGTTTGTGTTTCAAAACAGGTCAAGACAATAAAATCTGATCTATTATTTGCAGCAGCTAACAGCGTGTTTTTATTTGTCATTAAGAAATGAAGCAGTGTTGGGAGGCGCTACAGCGCAAATATTGTCCCTAGTTCAAATTCTGAAAGTATTACCGCCTAATACCAACTGATGCTTGAATCCCTGGACCTTGGAACCATTGTAATTTATATCCTATTCAGCACCATATTTGAGGATAAAAATATTGATTTACACATCAGATGGTCACCGCGCGATTTACGGCTCAGAAACACAATCGAGAGCGACTGCGATTAGGAATAAGCGTAAGGGACGAATCTTCGAAAACGTCATATAACCAGCGATGCCTTTTCCTTTGCACCCTGCCGGTGACGTTTCATTGGGGGAAATTAGCCGACTCATTTACGAGTAGACTGTTAAAATGTCTCTGTTTTTTTCGAACATATTCGGTGTTAGCCTTTCAAGGGAAATGCATCCCAGCGCCTCCATGTACGATGCTCCTCCTCCCTACGACGAGGTAAAGGCCCAGACTTCATCGCAAGGAGAGGTATGATTTCATAAAACCCACGAGTTCCGTACTTTATTGATTCTTTGTTTGTTTCCAGTATTACTTCACAACCATGATTTTTAACCAGTAGACCTTCAGGAATCGACCGTGCAGGGTGGAAGTCAATCGAATCGGCCACCACCGTATGACGGCGAACGAACACTTCCTCGTGACCTCGATTTCCTTCCCAAAGTCGAAGTGGTTTCATCGAAACGTTGTGGATGGTGAGTTTGAGCCGTACATCATTTTCTATCTGGCTAGCCGCAGGACGTGTTCACCTAAAACAAGACTTTTCACACTGGTATGGTCAGCGCAGAGAAAAAGCGGTGTAGTGGCCAGCGGACTTAATTACCAAGCGCGCGATCCGATGATGAAATCCTGGGTAGTGCCTCGTCTGGGCACAAGCCCTCCACGCCTTAAGGGTGACGTAGGCTTGGGAAAGAGAAATTGTTCATGGCCGAACATCGCAAGTCATCGTATAGTTCAACTGGTGTCCAAATTGTCCCTGCGATTTTGAGTGGAAGTGAATGCGTGGCGCATTCCAAGACGGGATTGATTAGGCCTAAATGCTTCACCTTTCTTTCGTTATCGTAATTAGAATAACTAGGAACGAAAACCAAAGCTACTAAGAGGTCTTGTGATGGGGACTGGATTAGGTGCGGTAAGACCATGAAGGGACCACTAGCAAGAAATTAACGTAGCCGGCTATGGACAGTTGGCTGAGTTAAGCACCGCACTTCGGTTGCCTCTATCGAATGAGGTGCCACAGTTATGGTTTCTTCAATCCCTTGATGTGAAAGTGACACTATGACGTTTAGAAAAATCATTTCAGCTCTGTGATTCGTGCCCAACCCGGCTCGGAACATGACGGGCAGCAAACTACAGGTATACGGTTACAATTGATTTGGAGCCTGTAATGAACCATTGTAATCAGCTTATGAATTTCGATTTACTGTTGCGAATTTCTATCAACTATTTTAAAGAGTTTTAGTAGTGCAAGTTTCAGTTATGTCTGTGATGACTGCAGACCTGAGAAGAGCAGGGTCGCATGGTGTCGGGGACGAATGCTGCTGCGCAGGTGGCTGGTGCAAGTAATCATAAGGCTGGTATTAGACTTATGCCTGGCTCTGATCTGTCTCAGATAACGCGTTGATTCCATCTCGCATCATAATTGGGTTCGGAATTTGTTTGTCACAACTGTCATATACATACAATATATCACGTAACTATTGTCACAGCCTTAAAAATTTAATCTGAATTTTGATAATAATAAATACGCTGTAAATGGTGAATTTATACAGTGAATGGTATCCATCCAACCGTCTTTGCAGTTCTGCCCAGAAACAAATGCATGTCTGGTTTTTGATAATTGTTTGTTATTGACTGTTGATTACTGGTTTTGGCAGCAGTTCGAGTTGTGAAAAGTATCGCAAGAATGCCGGGTCAAATATCTACCAAAAGCTAAGTCTGGGCGAATAGGTGTCCGTTAGTATAACAGGTAGCAACTCTGCCCGGTAAGGGAAGGGTGAGGGTTCGAGTCCAGCCTAGACGAAGTGCTTCCCTTCGCTCAACATTGCTTTCATGAAATTCGTGCCTCAATCTGAAGGAAGAGGCAATGTCTGAAACAAATCTTATCAGAACTAATTATCATTCAGAGTTTGTAGGATTCGATGTGAAATTTCTGGTCCTACTCAATCACTGTCGTCGCGTGTTTAGGAATCAGATGCCCCGATGACTCTTAATTATATATGGGAGCTCACTGGGTTCCGGAATCACAGGGCACCCACATAAGAGACTGTTTGTCACGACCTCATCCGGGGTTGTTGCCCTGAAGGCAAGCTCGGGGATTAGCTCTAGTAGTAAGAAGGGCCTCCCTGTCTTGCCATCGTACCACAACCGACCTTACATACTGGAGGTTGAGGCCTCTTGATTTCTGTGTTTGGCTCAGTCATCACTACGAAGTGCTCTTATACACCAGTTTTGTCCCGGGGAAATGACTGGCAGACAGAAGAAGAAGATTGCGGTGGGAATAGACAAGAAGCGTAGACACATCAATGGATCGGAGCAGGTGAACACGATGATGAGGTGGCAACGAGCACATTGGGTAATTGTGTAATGGAACCTTTAAGAGACGTGTTTTGCTAATCTAAAAATGAATAACTATCAACTAGTTGCTGAAAGCTGTCACAATCGCTTATTGTCATTTCGCTGAGAAGACTGAGACTATGATAGCATGTTTTGGCTCTTCTCTCTTTATGTCTGCTTTCTTTTGAGGCCGCTGTCAGACTTTGCGAATCCAGGTTTCGCTAGCGAATCGCGGGAGAAGAGCTTGCTTGCACCCAGAGACTCAGCTGTGTTACCAGCGACTCGACACTGTTTGGAAGTGGCAAGACTCGA